GTGAAGTTGGGTTTGAAGAACTCCGAAACCCGAAGGAGTGAAGTTGGGTTTGAAGAACTCCGAAACCCGAAGGAGTGAAGTTGGGTTTGAAGAACTCCGAAACCCGAAGGAGTGGAGTTGGGTTTGAAGAACCCCCGAAGGAGTGAAGAAGTTTATAGTAGGAAAAAAATAACTTTATACCTACCTTCCATAATGATTGTTAAAAGTAAATGCGAATACTCTTGAAGTGAAAATATAATAACACGAGTAGGCAAAAATAAAACTGAGTTTAGGAAAGTGCTCGTGTATCTGGTTATATAGCAAAAAAAATCGTGTTGTGTTTTGTAAATAGCGTGATTTTGATATTGATCTACATACTGCATAAATTGCGATCTTGATACGTACACGTAAAAAACTATTGTCTAAAAAGGAAATTTAACGTAAAAAAAAAATAAAAGCTTACCATCATTTTTAAAAAATGATATATATCTCCAAGAGGAAGAAGAAGGAATTGAATGGATGAAGAGGAAAGCAATATAGAAGAAATAGAAGAAAATATAGAAGAGACAGAAAATGAAGCGATTGATGATGAGAATAATTAATATAGTGAATTTATAGATGATGTGAATGAGATGGAAAATGCGGATGTGGAAGATGATGGGATAGAGACAGGAAATATGGAAGCGATAATGTAACTGATCGTGGTGGCGATACTAGGTGCGTTGTTTTAATGTCGGGCGGAATTGCAGGTGACCTCATTTACAATAGAGTCTACGCAACTTGCAGAGTTGAGTACGCTAATAATTTTATGCTGAGTATGATTATCTACTTAATCTATATTAAATTAACTATAATGTAAATCAATTTCTCATATATAATAATGCATTTAATTGATTAAAAACATGAAACAACTAATCGTATAGTGAGAAAATCAACACTGATCGAAATTAAAAATTCAACGTGTTATCGAATATCATTCAACACGTTGAATTTTTTTTGTTTGGTGCACAACTGGACCAAAGACCAGTATTCTCAATATAGTCTAAGGGTTCTAACTGATAAAAAATCAACAGAATTTTTTTAATAAAATAACAGCAATAAAAATTTTTGTTTCTATTTTTCAACACTTCTCAAAATATTAAAACATGTAGCAATAATAATACAGTATAGTGATTCTCTATTTATTAAGGTTTTTTAAATTAAAATTTTAATTCTCAATAAAATAAATATCAAAGTTCAAATTTTGAATTCATATATTTCGTATTCGCTTTTATTTGTGATATTTTTGGTTGGGTTAAATTTTGTAGGAATGACACGAAGCATCTTGACGGATTTTGTAAAATAGTTAGACGATCATATTTGTTGTATGTCTTTCACATTTAAAAAAGTGGCAAAACTAAAGCATTCAAACCATGAAAAAAAAAAAATTAAAGCCATTACCATTTTTTTTTTTTTTTAAATTAACAATTATTTTGAATTAGTATTGAAGAACTAGACGACTGGTTAAAATCTGTATCACAATGCCCGTACATATTAAAAAAAAAGTTGATAGCAAATAGTAAGTTATTACAGTAATAGGTCTTTGTTGTATATAATTATGGTTTTTTTTTTTGGCCATGCCCACGTACATTTCAGGTGTCATAATGACGCAAGTCATTTTTATTACGCGACGAGAGAGAAGATTTCAAATATGGTGTTAAATTCTGCACGGCAGAATATTACTGAGGAGCGGTGAAAAAATCAAGGTGACTACTTTGGGAAAACCTCACACCGGCAATTATGGTTTATTATAAACTATCATTAACTTAAATAAATAAATATATATATATGTATACTATACATATCAGTATATTAGCCGAGCCCGAACTTGTCAACCCTGAGCATTGAGCCCGAATTTGCCAACTCTAAGCCCATTACAGCTGTTTTCATAAATTCTGGGACACCCTAAAAAAATTTGCCGAAGTCGATAAGTTATTGATTTCGGTATGATCAGTATAATAAAATTATTAAGAAAAGCTATTTTTGGATCATAATGATCATTTTACGATGTCATAACAATAATGTCAACGATTTTAAATTTTC